CAATCATGGATGAAGCTAGTGACTCATTTGTCTCAGACTTTATTTATTGCCTCTGATTTCTTCCTGTTCTTTCTTGAACCCACTGCATCTGGATTTCTCCTGTTTCTCCACAAAAACATCTTTGTCAGAATTCACTAAAGACCTCTTTGACTTTGCTCAATCCAGTTGTCAATTATCAGTCTTCATTGACCCATCGGTAGCATCTGAATCCAGGTCATTGTTCCCTCTTCCTTAGAACATTTTATTTGTTTGACTTCTGGAACACTCCTTTCTCCTAACTTTTCTCTTAAATCTCTGATTGCTTCTTCTCAGTCTTTTGGCTGGTTCCTTTTCGTATCTCACTTCCCTGGTGGCTCAGACGGTAAAGCGTATCTCAGTCTTCAGTGGAGAATCCAGGGCTACATCCTTGGTACTCTTTTCTTTTAACCTCCTTCCCTCAGTGATCTCACCTGATTTCATGGCTCTAAATACAACTGTGCCCTGATGAATCTTAACTACATCTTTCTAGCCTGAACCCTAGCCCCTAAACTCCAGGCTCATGGGCATAAGCCTATATAACACTGCCGTTTGGCTTTATGATGGGTATCTCTTATGTCATGTTTGAAAAACAACTCAATCATCATTCTTTCCCCTTAGCCTGCTTTTTCCTCAGCTTTCTTTAGATTGGTTGTTGCCAACCTCATTCTTTCACTGGTCAGGCTAAAACCCTGGGATTCATCTTTACTTCTGTCACTCCCATGTTTGATATACCTGCAATTTTTGCCTGTATTTTCTTCACAATACATTCAGGATCTAACTACTTCTTACCACCTTCACTACTATAACTGTGGCCCCAAGCCACACTTTTCTCTCACCTAGATAATCTCTTTAACTTTTTAACAGGTCTTCTGGCTTCAGTTTTTTCCCAGTTACAGGTGATTATTCCCATAATAGTCTGAATGATCTTTCTAAAAATAGTTGGTTAACCTCTTCCTCTGGGAAGAAGGAGTTGATGTACTTTTTCCTATTCCTTCTTCTAAGTACAACTAAAGAACCTAGACATTATATATTAAACAAACATGGACTGTGGATGATGCTGAGAAGAAGGTAGGCCAGCCAGGGACCCCAGGACCCAAGGAATGACATGGCAGTGAATTTCTTGAGTATTCTTTTTGCCATATACATCACAGACTTCAATCTGAGATGCTGGCAACCCATAAATACTGCTGCAACAGAAAGAAGCCTGCTCTCTGTAGCCAAAGGACCAAGAAAGAGACAGCTTAGCAAGACAGAAAGCTGTTAGATAATAACTGCTGTTCTCCAGACAAACAGCACAGAAATCTTTAGCCATTATTTCTTCAAGTACTTTTTTTAGCTCTGCTATTTTTCTCTGCTTCTTTTGTGACTGTGATGGCATGATTGTTAGTTCTTTTGTCATGGTGCCACAGGTCTCTTAGCTTCTATTTATTTACTTTCAGTGTATTCTCTTTGTTCTTCAGAGTGGGTAATTTTTAAAATTTTGTCTTCCATTTCACTGATTCTTTTTTCTGACTCCTCCTTTTTTGCTACTGGGCCCATCCATTGAGTTTTTAAATTTTGGTCACTGTGTTTTCCAAAAGATATAAAAGGAGTGAACAGTTCCCAATTCATTTTATAAAGCTAGAATTATTCCGGTATTAAAGGCAGAAAAAAAGACATTAAAAAATACAAACTAACATCATTCATGAATATAGATGCAAAAACCCTTGGCAAAATATTAGCATACAGAATTCAGCAATACACAGATAGAATTGTACACTATGACCAAGTGGAGTTTGTACCAGGGATGCAAGCCTGGTTCAATATTTGAAAATCAATTAATATGATATACCATATTAGCAGAATAAATAAGAAAAATCAAATGATTGTATCACTTGATGTAATGAAGCATGCTGCAAAATCCAACATCTAATTAAAAGCTCTCAGAAAATGAAGAATATAGTAAAACTTATTTAACTAGATAAACAGTATCTACACAAACATACAGCTAATATTATACTTAATAATGACTGACTGAATGATTTTTCCCAAAGATTAGGAGTAAGCAAAGATGTATATTTGTGTTCCACATGGTCCTGGAAGTTATAGCTTATACAGTAAGACAAGAAAATAAAATAAAAGGCTTACAGATCAGAAAACATGAAATAAAGTTGTTCGCATCTGCAGATGACATGTTTATCTATGTAGAAAATCCCAAAGAATCTACAAAAACAAAACAACTCCCCGAAATCTAGAACTATTAAGTGAGTTCAGCAAGGTTGCACAATACAAAATAATCACACAAAAATCGATTTTATATGGTTAATGAACATGCGGACACTAAAATTAAAAATTCATTATACTTCCTGAAAAAAAATGTAGGTATAAATCTAACAAGACAGTTATAGGACTTCATGCTGAAAAATGCAAAATCCTGGTGAAAGAAATCAAAGTGTATCTAAATAAATGGAGAGACATACCATGTTCATGGATTGGAAACTCCAACACAGTTATGATATCAATTCTTCTCAAATTATCATATAGGCTTAATGGAGTTTCTACTTAAATTACAGCCAAAATTTTTATAGATATGACATGTTGATTCCAAAGTAAATATGGAAAACAAAGGAACCAAGATAGCTAAACCAATTTTGAAAAGAAACAGTAAAGTGAGAGGAACCATTCTGCCCCATTTCAAGACTTATTTTATAGCCATAATATTCAAAATTATGTGTTATTGTTGGAAGGATAAACACAGAGGTAAGTGGAACAGTGTAGGGAACCCAGTATAGAAAATAATGTAGAAAACCACAGCAGTATGCGGTGGCTTCTCTTGTGGATCATGGGCTCTAGGGTGTGCAGGTAGTTGTGGTTCCCAGGCTCTAGAGCACAGGCTCAATAGTTGTGGTATATGGTATACTCCGTGGTATACGGCTGCTCTGTGGCATGTGGGATCTTCCCAGATCAGGGATCCAACTCTTGTAATCTGCATTAGCAAGCAGATTCTTTACCACTGAGCCACCAGGTAAGCCCCTAACCAACAAATTTATGGAGTGTTTACCAAGTGCCAGACCCTATAGGCACTTGGGCACTCTCTGTGAATGGACTGGATGGAGCCCCCCCACCCCCACCCACCCAAAGGAGCCTCATTGTCAGGAGAGAGAGAAGTCCGGTAGAGAGGCTGTAATAAGGGAACCACTGACTGTTGTTCTGGAGGGCAGTGCCGGGATGGGGTGGGGCAGGTTGGCGTGCAGGGCTGCCCTGGTGGAGCAGGTGACACCCGAAGACAGGCTGGGGGCAGGTGAGGGAGTTAGACAGGTGGCTGGAGGGAAGAGCACTTCCAGAGGCCAGAGGACAGGAGAGGTAGGTGTGCTGGTGGTGGTGACTGAGAGCCTGTGGGCTGGGCCGACGCCATGGTGGGCGGGGCCGAGGCCATAATGGGCGGGATCAGGGCGAGCAGAGCTTGTTAGGGGCCTTGGCGCAATTGGAGGATTTGGCTTTTACTCTTTGGGAAATCGGGCTTCCCTGGAGGCTGGTGGTAAAGAAGCCACCTGCCAGGCAGGAGGTGCGGGTTCAGGCAAGGTAGGGGGAAGATTCCCTAAAGGAGGAAATGGCAACCCTCTGCAGTATTCTTGCCTGGGAAATCCCATGGACAGAGGAGCCTGTCTATGGGGTCACAAAAGAGTCAGACATGATTTAGGGACTGAACGACGACAGACTTCGGGAAAGGGGGCGCCATTGCTGGGTTTTGAGCAGAGCAGTGGCATGAATGGATGTAGGCTGTAATGGGCTGACTCCGCCTGCCCTTTTGGGGGTGAGGACAGGATGGGGAGCCCATCCCGTTAACCCAGGGGAAGGGCGATGGAGGTTCGCACCAGGATTGTGTGGAAGTGACGTTTTGATTCTGGGTCCTGTTGGATGGTAGCGCTCACGGTAGCACACAGTCAGACAGGAGATGTGGAAAGGAGTGAATTTTGGCCTGCTAGTCTGGGAAGCAGGCATTTGATGGTCATTGTGGGGAAGCCCTCAGGACCCCTGGTGGGGAGTGGTGGGTGGTCCAGGTCCCTGTGTGGATGAGTCATACTGGAGGTGGGAACAGGCTACTTGCTGCAGATGAACAGGGATTTGGGAGAGAGGACTAGGCCTTGGAGATAGAGGTGTGGGACTGGTGCACATTCAAGTGGATGGATGGGGCTTCTGAAAGGGAAACAAAGAGGGTCCAGAGCCTTGGACTGAGGCTGGGCCCTCTGGTGTCGAAAAGTCAAGGAGACCTGCTGAAAGCAGCAGGTCAGGTGCAGGGAGAGCCCAGGGAGCAGGAGTAGGTGGGTGGCTGGTGTCAGAGTTCGGGGGCACTCAAGGGGTGCTGGCAGCAGGACCCTGTGGTGTGGAGTGGCTGGGGCTAGGGAAAGGGCAGGCAAAGCTGGTGAGGTGAGAGGAGGAGATAGCCAGGGTTGTGCCCATATTTTCCTTCCAAAAAGAATAAGGCATATATGGTGGAGGGGGTGGGGGAGCAGGGCCAGGAGCAGGGATTTTGTAAGTGCAAGACTTTCTGGCTTCTCTTGGCGGTTCAGTGGGCTTGCTGCGAACCTGCGGCTGAAGGGGCCCCCTGCCTGTCCTCATGGGCTCCCACCCACATGGGCGCCCAGAGGGGCTCCAGGGGGAGCTGGTTGCAGCCGGGAGGTAATCGGATATGGGAGGAAGGTAGACATGGAGACGTAAAACACTGTCTGAATGAAGGGCAATCGTATTTGAAGTAATTTGAAGATTGACAGGAAATTCATAAAGGGAATATGGAGTTCCATTTACAGCAGCAGGAGATTGCCTTGTCCATAGCTTCCTGACCTCTGGAAGAACAGAAGTTGCTGCTGGCAGAGTTCCAAAACATGAAAATGTAAAATGGAATTGAATAATCTCTCCTAAATCAATTTTGTGAGCCAAATGACCTACAGAGGGATGTGATATAGTGCGGGTGTGCGGCCGAGCACTCCTGTCTGCTGAATGCATTAGGACAATTGATTCTGGAGATTCGCGAAGGCTGTTTTCCTTCGGTCCTGCTCCAGGAGGCTGGCTGCTGCTCTCGTCGTCTCCAGAGGCCGGTCTGGGAAGCGGTGCCACTTGTTCTGGTTTGCTGAGTTGGTTGCAGAATCTGCCAAAGGGTCTTCAGGCGGCTGTGGACAGGGGCTCTGGCCCAGCAGGAATGTCTCTGCTGGCTCTTCTCTTCAGCGCTTTGCAGCCGTTTGCGTGGCAAGGTTCCTGAGTGTGAACACTCTCGTGTGTTCTGTGTTCTGACATCCTTCCCCACCATCAGCCAGTGCCGAGGGGGCGCTCAGCTGTGCTGGTCCCAGGGCCGAGCAGGGACGTTGCCCTTGGCACTTAGTCCTGGGAGGGAGTCTTGGCGCTTTCCTGTGGCTGTTGTTTGGTAGTCCGGGCCTAACATGATGGTGTGTGCTGAGTTTATTAGTCCCGCTGGTGCTGGCTTCTACCCCGCCCCCATCTTCCTCTCACCCCACCTCATCCCTCTCCCCATATGCAGAAAATACTCTTGAATAAGGAGAGGTTTTAGCTTAATCAGCAAATGCTGTTCAGTTAGCACAAATCCCAAAGGCACAGGAGGGCCTTTTAGCAGCTTAGAGTAAGAAGCTCTGGCCTGTTGGCAGAGGCAGTGCTGGCCCACATGAACATGTAGGGATGAGCTCAGAAAAGCCAGTGGATTCCTGTGCCTTTTATTCTCCAGTTTGAGACTGTTCCAGTTCCCAGGGTGACTTAATTCTAGGAATAGGGTACTTGTTTATTTTGAAAAATCAATACTTAGCTTTGCAAACTTGGATCAAATAGAGGAGAAAGTGCTTAGAGGGTGGTTGGTTAAAAAAGACGACAAATTCTCATGGTTATGAGACTCATCATTGTCAGCACACCTTTTTTTCCCCTTTTTACAACTTTTATTTCCAGGGCCTTGAGGCATCTCCATTTACTCTCCTTGTAGACTGAATGTGCACACATGTTATTAATAGCAGGTGTGGGAAAGAAAGAATGCTTTGTATTCTGAAATACTCCCTGACTTCCTGACTTTGGACTTGAAATCCTGTTTGTCCCTAGGGATCGAGGCCAGTGCTTCTCAGACTTTACCCTGCACGTGAATCACTGGGGGAGTCTTCAAATGCCGATTATGATCCGGTAGATTCGAGGCAGGCCTGGGACTCTTCATTCCCAGTGAGCTCCCCTGGCCCCCCTTGGAGAGACTCTGGTCAGCGCACGTGGTCTGTCTCCAGGTATCTGTCACCAGCTTGGTGTCTGAGGGAAAGTACAGGTTGTGGTATCAGAGCGACACCCCTCAATGAAGGAGATTGCCTCTGGCTTCACTGTGTGCTGTCTGTCCACCATCAGGCTCCTGGAGCGGGTGGGGCGGGGTATGCAGGTCAGGGGCCAGGCAGCTGAGTGGTGCTGTGTGGGTGCTGTGTGCTCCCCTGTGTTGCCCAGGAACTGGCTGCCCGGGGGAGGAGGACACTGGTTTAGAAGAGTTGAGAAGGTTTAGAAGGTTGTTCTACTAAGAAATGTGTCAGGATGCAGCCCAGGCCTCTCAGCACAGAGCCTGGTCCTGCTGCACCATGGGTGACCACCAGGGGACTGGGGCCAGTTGGCATGACTCAGAAAAAGCTGCCCCAGAGGACCCGGCCCGACCCGGCCCCTCCTCCTGAGGGATAGGAAGGTGGAGGACTGGAAAGCCTTGGGTTTGGAAATAGCCTGAGAGAGGTTCAGTGTGAGAGGAGCGTCAGTGGTTAGACTCACAGCGATGGCCAGCTTACCTTGTGGGCGAGCTTGGGTTGGGGGCATCTGGCCACCTTGGGGAGGGAGGTGGCAGTAGGAGACTGGGCACCAGGAGCCCCGCGCTGGGGCAGAGGGTTAGGTGACGTCTGAACACCCCGAATGGTTCTCTTGGGAGACTTCAGGACTCCTGTGTGCCCCTGTGGTCTGTGACTCCCTGAGCCCTCGCACCACTGCACGTGGGTCCAGCAGCCAGGAGGGAACCACGGTCTTTGCTGCATGACGTTGAGGAACCACAGAACCTTTGGCAGCTGAAGGGAGTCCTCCTGACATACGGGAAGTAGAGTGAAAGCTCTGCGAAACAGCTGTATCCAGGTAACCTTAGTGAGACAGAAGGAGATCAGTGTCTCACTAAAGTATTACTGAGGCAGCAGAGCCAGCAGCTGGAGCGTACGGGAGGGGTGGATTTACTGCCGTAAAGGGTTAATCCTTTCAGAGGTTCAGAAATACTTTTAGAGAATTAATGTCCAGGATCTAATGGCATATTGATGACTGTGATGCATGTGGTTCCGTAAAAGCTTTTAGACTCTGGCTCTGTTTCAAGGGCACAGATTTAAGATGACTCCTGATCTTTCTCCATGTAGGAAGAGTCCTTTGTTCCCCCAGGAGCATCCACACTTTTCTTGAAAATGTCGACCTGACAGGAGCTCTGTCCATGGCCAGGCCAGGCTCTGGGTGCCAGCCACCTTGCCATGTTCCTGGGCCCTCGAACAGAGTCTGGCCTGGCTGTAGTTCCTGGCAGCAGGGAGTTCAAAGACTGGTTCTCTCACTTGCTGGCTGTGGAGCTGTTGAACAAACCATTCAGCCTTATTGATGGCCTGCCTTCTAGAATAATCAGCGTACCAGGCTGATATTTAGTGTAAGAGTTTGAAATAATCTTACAAAGCAGGCACTTTGGTCTGCTTCCATTACAACTAAGCAGATCACCTACCTTAGCGGGAAGAGAGACACTTCGCATCTCAGATACACTGCTGGTTACAAGGCGTGCAGATGGTGAAATCTGAAGCAGTTCCTAAAAACGTGGACCTTCTGGCTTTGCAGTGTCCGAGTCTTCAGGTCCATGACACGCTCTCTGAACTTGAGGAAGTTGCTGTTGAACGTGACTAATGAAATACTATGACCAGACTACTGAAAACTTGGCGACCTTGGTCTTTTTCTTCCTTTAATTACTGTTTTTATATTAAAAAAAAACCTCCAAACTTTTCTTTAAAACAGTTTTAGAGTTACAGATTTATTATAAAGATAGTACAGAGAATTCTCATAGCCAGTTTAATGGTTTATATTATTCAGGTCCATTTGTCATAATTAATGGACTGATGTTGGTACATTATTATTCACGAAAGTCTATCCTTTCAGTTTTCTTAGTTTTTCCCTAGCGTCCTTTTTCCATCCCAGAATACATTTGTCATGTTTCTTAGGCTCGTCTCGGCTATGATACTTCCTTAGGCTTTCCTTGTTCTTGATGGAGTTTTGGGTAGGACTGGTCAAATGTTTTGTAGACTGTTCCTCTACTGACATTTGATGTTGTCTCATGATCAGATTGAGGGTGTAGGTTTTTGAGAGAAAGTCCACAGAGGCAAAGGGCCCTTCTCATCATGTCCTTCCAGGGTCGGTGTCCTCACGTGACCTGCATAGTGGACACTGACTGTGGTCACCTGGCTCCTGTGTGTCTGTCTGGTCTCTCCACTGCATAGCTGTCCCCCCTCCACCGTTCTCTGGAAGGAGGTTGCCATGCCCACCCTGTACCTGAGGAGGGGCTGCTCCCTCCCCTCCCCAGGATGGAGCAACTGAGAACTCATGGATTTTCCCGCAGAGTAGGTTCCCTCTTCTCCTCTTATTCTCACTTATTCACTGACACTCACTTGTGTCAGTTTGAGTCCATGGGTATTTGTTTATCCTTTGGTGTAGAGCCCTGCACTGCTTTCTTTATTCAGTTGCTCAGATTGCTCTGGTTTTGATGGATGGGAATTCATTCATTGGCTCCTGTGTCCCTTTGATGTGCCCCCGTCATTGTGTGTGTGTGTTTGCTCTGTTTTGTTTTTTAAGCATATCTTTCCTTTCTTGTGCTATAAGATACTCCAGGCCCATTTTCTGTGTAGCCTGCCTCTGTCCTAAAAACCAGGAGCCTGTTTCCTTTGATCAGAAAATGGTATAAGAAACCAGTGTCTGGAGGCTGGTGTGGATGTTGTTACTGAGGTGTGGTTACTTCTAGGCACTCCTGGCTGACAGCGCAGGGGAGATGTATGTACATACTAACCTGTGTATCCAGACATAGCTGTCAATATTTCTGTGTGTAACCATCTGTATTGGTATAAAGCTGAACATGAGTTCGTGCTGACATTTGCAGCGCCAGTTCACCCAGCCTCTCCCCCTCCTGTGTATAACCTCCCCTCAAACAATGGGACACCTGGCTCCTACCACCGGGTCCACTTTTACTTAATGACTTAATTCCAGCACACATGCTCAGCAAGACCAGCATCGCTCATCAGCTTACATCTCCTGGTAAACAACCTTATCAACTAGAGCACAGCATTAAGCACACTTCCTTTGCCTTTACTCTTATGGACTCCACTCATTTCCAGAGTTCCTCACCCCAACTCCTTATTCCCCACCCTCTCCAGAGAGGCTGATGCAGACATTTGAAGTGCAGTTGAAGCCTTTTGTCACATTCCACATTCCATCTCAGGAGTCTCCTGACATCCTAAATGCTTTTAAAATTGCATATATTAAGGTTTATTTTTTGTGCTGTAAAGTTCTGTAGCTTTTGACAAATGCTTACTGTCTTGTAGTCACCATTGCAACATAACACATTATAGTTTCACTGCTCTAAAAAAATCTCCCGTGCTTCCCCTGTTCAGCCCCTTCCCCGAGCCCTAGATAATCACTGATCTGTTTATCGTCTCTGCAACTGTGTCTTTTCCAGAATGTTATATAGTTAGAATCATACAGTATGTAGCTTATTCAGACAAATCTCTTTCACTTAGCAGTATGTATTTAAAGCTTCATTTATTTTGTTTATATATGTGGTTTGACGGGTCATTTCTTTTTTATTGTTGAATAATACTCCATTATACTAACATACTGTGACTTGTTTGTCTGTTTACCTATTGAAAGATGTTTCTGTTGCTTCTAGCTTTTGCTGGTTATGAATAAAGCTTCTATAGACCTTTGTGTGCAGGTTTTTTTGGACATGAAGTTTTCAGTTCATTTGGGCAAGTACCAGGGAGCACAGTTGCTAGATCACATTGTAAGACTGTGTTTTAGTCCCTCTATGAATGAATGAGAGTGACCTCCTGCTTTTCTGCTTCCTTGCCAGCGTTTGGTAATGTCAGGATTTTTTAGACTTTAATAACCCTAAAAGGTATATAGTTGTATCTCATTCTTTTAATTTGCAATTTCCTAAATTCCCCAAATTTGCGGTTTTGCTCTGTTTTTCATTTGGTGAGTCAGTCCTGAAGACTGACTCTCTTCTGCCGCTTGCAAATACAGTAGCCTCCACTGTCTGCAGTTTTGCTTTTCACAGTTTTGTTTACCTGAGGTCCAAAAATAAACAGTTCATCTTTTCATGAATCTGAGGAGCATGATGGAGTCTTGCACTGTCCTGCTCTCTCCTGCCCGGGCCGTGGATCACCCCTTTGCCAGTGTGTCCCGCCCTTCAGTCACTTAGCAGTCCTCTCTGTGATCAGATGGCTGTCGCAGTATTGCAGTGCTTGTGGTCAAGTTACCCTTATTTGACTTAATACTGGCCCCAGACTGTAGCGTAGCGATGCTGGCAATTCAGATATGCCAATGAGAAGCTGTCAAGTGTTTCCTTTAAGTGAAAAGGTGAAAATTCAGATCTTAATAAGGAAAGAAAAAATTGTATGCTAAGGTTGCTAGGGTCTACGGTAAGAAGGAATCTTCTCTGTGTGAAATTGTGAAGAAGGAAAAAGAAATGTGTGCTAGTTTCGCTGTCACACCTCCAACTGGAAAAGTTACAGCCATGGTGTGTGATAAGTGCTTAGGTTAACATGGAAAAAGCACCAAGTTGGGGGAAAGACAAAAATAGAAGGTGTGTTCAAATTGTTGGCAATGTGTTGGGACAGAAAGCATGGTTTGTAAAAAGTCTTCGGCAAGGGAGATGCCGAAATGAGTGGCCCTAGCCACTTACTGCACATAGGGTTGGGTACAGAGTCAGGACTAGGTTTGGGCTGAAAAAATATAAAAATTACTGGAGAAGCTATTAGATATTATTAATCTCTTATTGTGCCTAAACTATTACTTAAATTTGATCATAGCTTTGTGTGTTTAGGAAAAAGCCTAGTATACAAAGGGCTCACTCCTCTCATGATTTCAGGCATCCCCTGGGGGTCTTGGAACATAGGCACTGTGGATAGGCAGGACAACTGTGAACTCTTTCTTTTCCAAGCAAGCTGTTTCCATGCCTTCTATTGACAGTGTGAATGTTGGTTTGTGGTCAGCATCTTTCTAGCTTGAGCTACTTTCAGAATCTACATTCATATACTGATTATGAAGATCCATTTTAGGGAGAGTTGCTTCTGTATCATTTACATTGAAATATTGGTGCCTTTGCAGTGAAATACACAGGTCATCTTCTGGCACTGTGTGGGGTTTGGGGACAAATGTATTATAGTTACTCCGATGGTAATATAATTCCAGGCGTCTGGATGGAGTCTGGGGACGAATGTATCACTGGACTTTAGGAAATCACTCCAATGGTAACATAATTCCAGATGTCTGGAAATTGAAACTCCTGATTTCTGATCAGAAGCTGTCCTTGGCATCCTGAATCTTTCAGGAAAAACCCAGGCTCGTGAGCTCCTGATCCACACACTCTGGGGCCTCTGACTTTGGCTGCAGCTGTGCTTCCAGTGGAACCCCCACTTCACCCCTTCACTTCGTCAGTGTTCCAGCCGAACTGGGCAGAGCCCTGACCCTGTTCTTGCTTTCCATTTGTTGGGACTGCCCTCTGAACTCTGTGTGTCCGTGTTGCCCCCGGGCCTGGCAGAATGCTCTCGTCCATCCATGCAGCTCTCCTGGTCTGCCCAGAAGGAAGCAGCCTGTCCTGAACACCATGGCTCACTGCTTGTTACCTCAGCAGGGCAGTGAGACATGCCTGCCTTGTATCACGGCTGCTGTGCCCCCACATCCGCTCCTCTCATGGGGGCGCCACATGGCCTCTCCCCCACACAGTGGGCTCCTCCAGGCTGTGCTCCCTGCCCGGCCCCCGAGCTGCCTCCCTGGAGCCCAGCGTAGCAGGACCACTCTCGGCTGCTGCCATCCTGCCCTCTCATGAGGGACCTGCGGGCTGAGGGTACGCATCACCTAGCTGGTGGGCTCAGAGACGACAGTGGCAGTGAGGATGACTCTAAAGATGGAGGGCCGTGTGACTTCTGATCCACACGGACCTGGCCAGGGGCAGCAGAAGCCCTCAAACCGGTTCAGCTCCAGCTCTCCTACATGCCCTGTGGTCACATACGGATGCCTTTCCTCACCAGCTGATTCCTTATCTGCTTTGGTCACTCTTCCCAAGGGTCACTCCTCCCAAGCCCGCTGTCCCAGCTCCGCCCAGTTTTCTCTTTTCTGCCTTTGTCTGTTGAGTGCTCCTGGTTGGCTTGGGGACGGGGGCTGTTGCCAGGACAGCTGCCAGTGAGGCTTGCCCAGAGTCATGTGTTAAACTCTCACTGTGTTTGTAGTGTGTCTCAGTTTGTGGTTGGGAGGATATGGATGTTTCACATTTCCCGTTCTTGCTTTGTCTTTCCCCTGGAGGGCTGGTGGCCTCCACAGCAAGTGGAGAACATTTTGCCCTCACTCCTATGTCTCTCCAGTGTGGCTGCTGGTGCCCCAACTTCCCTCATTCCTTCGGGGTCTTACCCACTTTCTGTTTGACAGTTCCCACCGGGGTTTCCCCATCACCTTGGACTGTTTGTCTGCCTCTTTGACGTCTCCACTCGCAAGGCTCATGAGCATCTCAGACTTCACAGGTCCAGAGCTGAACTCTTGAGCTTCCATTGCAGCCCTCATGTCTGACCTGATGGAGCCGAGGCCTTGGAGCCTTCCTGACATCACTTCTTATCTCAAACCTGCCTCCAGTCCTCTGGCAAATCCTGTGTTTCAGGGTGCCCAGCGAGCTGATGAGGAATGTGGCTCTTAAGACTGGATTTGAATGACACAATACCAAATCCATTCAAATGCTTTTAATAAAATCATCCAGGAAAGAGTTTGATAATTTATATAAAGAAAATGTACTAGGCACTTAAAACTGGAGTCATCTGTTAGTGTCAGATGAACACATGTAAAGATAGAAGGCATTTTAATATAAGATGTAGTTTATGATGATGAAAGAAAATAGTTATGATAAAGACAGATTGATCTGAATTTATATATTTGTAATAACTAAAACATATTGTATAGGAAAATTGGCTGACTTATAAGGTGAAATTGATAAAGCTGCCATCATATGGACTGCGTTAATGTTGCTTTCTCAGGAACTGAAAGATCCAATAAACACATGAGTAAAGTGTTCAAGATTTGAACAACTCTATCTCTTGGTCATATAAAAAAAAATGCAACCATTAGGGAATACATAAGCTCTAAATGCATGTGAAACAGTTTTAAAATCTGACTTTGTGTTTGGTCACAATGTACATCTCACATTCTTTCACGGTATATTCTCTGACCAAATGAAACTAAATCAGAGTTCAGTTATAAAAGTGTAAAGAAATAAAGTTTATGTATTTGGCACTTGTGTTAGTTGCTTAGTTGTGTCTGACTCTTTGTGACCCCATGGACTGCAGGGTTTCTAGTCCCACGTCTTGCCAGGCTCCCGTGTCCATGGATTCTCCAGGCTAGAATACTGGAGTGGGTAGCCATTAAGAAACATTAAAAACCTTTCAAGTTAAAGTGGAAGTGACAATGGGAGTATTTAGATTGGCTGACTCCAGCAATGTAAACTAAGGCATGTGGGACCAGCAGTACTTAGAGGGAAGTGTATGTCTTGAGAGTTAAGTGCTTGAAAGAATAAAGACTCAGAATTGATCAAGTAAGTGTTCGCCTTAAGGTAGGAGAGCAAAAGAAAGTAGAAGGAAGGAAATTATAGCAGTAAGAACAGAAATTTGTAAGACAAAGAAAAGTATGTGTAATGAAAAGCTGGGCCTTTCTCAAAAAAATCAAATTTTCAAATATTTGATAGGATTGATCAAAAAATGAAAATAGTAGTCATAAATAAACAATGTTAACTGTATCTTGTTGCTGTTGTTCAGTCGCTCAGTTGTGTCTGACTCTTTGCGATCCCATGGACTACAGCACGCCAGGCTTCCCTGTCCATCACTAACTCCCGGAGCTTGCTCAGACTCATGCCCTTTGAGTCAGTGATGCCATCCAACTATCTCATCCTCTGTTGTCCCCTTCTCCTCCTGCCTTCAACTTTTCCCAGCATCAGGGTCTTGTTAATAGTGTGAATAATCAGTATTGTAAAATGACATTTGTCAGTTAACTGCAAAATCAAATCCTGACAGGTCTTCTCATGGGTTTGGAAGTGCTGATTCTAAAATCCAGGTAGAAGAGTCAGGGATCAAAATACTAATTATTTTTGAAGAAAAATAAGAGGGACTTACCCATCGAATGTTAAAGCTTATTATAAAAGTGTAATATTTGATATCTGCATTATTAGACCAGGGACAGACAAATATGCCAGTGCAACAGAGTAGGGAACATATTCACACACCCTCATATCACACACAGCCGTATACCCCCCATACACACTCACATGCCCCCACATCGACCCACCTACCTACACATACCCACATACTCACACACTCAAGATATGCCCGCACCCAACCACGTCCTTACTCCCCCACAGCCTACGCCCAAAGGAATTCATACTTTACAAGGTTATATTACAAGTCCATGGGCAGAGGAGGTATCTTTTAGTCAATACTGCTGGGATAATCTTCTACTCCTATGGTAAAGATTAGAATTAGATCCATACAAAATGCTTCATATATGAGACTGAATTCTAGATGGAATCAAATTCTGAGTGTGAAAAGCAAAACTGAAATTTACAGAAGACAGAAGATTGTCTTTGACATCTGGTTGAAGATGAATTTCTTAAACCAAGCACCAACTGTAAGGAAAAAGACTGGTTTATTTGTCTATATGAAGTAGAAAAGTCATCTGTGTGGCAGAAGATATTTATAGAATTAAAAGACAGACTACAGACAGGCAGATACATTTGAAAGTCATATAACTTGAAAAGGATTGACATCAAAGATCTAGAAAGAATAAGCTTACAGTGGATAAAGGCTATAAAAAAATCCCAAATGAGGAAGTCATAAAAGTTATAAATGTATGAAAACTGTGTGATTTTTCTATTAATCCATGAAATGTGAATGAAAACAGTGAGAGACCACTTCTACTCATCAGATTTATAAGCGTGATGCCAGTTAATAAGTATCAATGATGTTGTGGGTACACGGGAACTCTTCCACCTTGCTGTTAAGAGTACAGGCTGGTATAACCACTTTGGAGACTGATTTGGTTACATTAGTGAAGCTAACAATGTGCACCTAGTAGGACCCACCAATGCCATTTTCAGCATTTGTTTTAGAAAGTCCCACGAGTACCTGAGGACGTGGTCCTACAGTGTTTTTGCAGTAACAAGACACTGGAAACTACCCAATTGGCCTCAATAAGTGGATCCAAACATTTGTTTTCTTCATACTGTCAAAAATTATTCTTCGTTAAATGAATTAGATCTCTGCATATCAAGATGCATAAATCTCAGTAACAATGCTGACTGTGAAAAACCAAGTTATAAAAGTACGGGTGCTGTATGGTTTTTTTGCTCTTGCATATTTACACAGCCAGTAGAGGTATAAACACCTGAATGTGAATGATGTGTTTAGATTGTGTCATTACTTTCCTATAGAGGAGAGATAATCAGTAGGGTGTAGGGCTTCAGTGGCATCTGAAAGCATTTTAAATAGAGTTCTGAAGCAAATAAAGCAAAATGTTGACAACTCTTTATTCTTCATTGTAAGTACATAGATGTCTACTGTGTTTACTTTTTGATTTGAGATACAATTCACATACCATAAAATTTGCTTGATTAGAGTGCCTCATTGAGTGGTTTTTGGCGTATTTACAGAGCTGTGCGTCTATCACAGCTATCACCATCTAATTCCAGAACATCTTCTACAACCCCAAAAGATACCTCATACCCATTAGCAGTCACCTCCCATTCTCCCCTTCTCCAGTCCCTCCCTACCATTTCTATGGATTTTCCCATTCTGGACATTTCATATAAATGGAATCATAGAGGATGTGGTACATGGACTTTTTCACTTAACGTAATGTTTTCAAGGTTCACCTATGTTGTAGCATGTATTAGTACTTTATTCCTTTTTATGGCTGAATTATATTCCATCCTACGAATATAGCATTTTGTTTATCCTTTCATCCATTAATGGATCATTAGGTTGTTTCTGTTTTTTAGCTATTGTGATTAATGCTGTTATGAACTTGATGTACAGGTTTTTGTACGAATGTGTATTTCTCATTCCCTTAAGTATATAGGAATGAAATTGCTGAGTCACGGGGCAATAATAGATTTAACTTTTTGACAGACTGCCAGAGTGTTTTCCAAAATGGCAGGAAAAATATTTCCTGCCAATATTATATGAGGGTTCTATTTCCTGCATATCCTCACTCAGTCAGTTCAGTTTAGTTCAGTTGCTCAGTCGTGTCCGACTCTTTGTGATCCCTTGAATTGCAGCACGCCAGGCCTCCCTGTCCATCAACAACTCCCGGAGTTTACTCAAACTCATGTCCATCGAGTCGGTGATGCCATCCAGCCATCTCATCCTCTGTCGTCCCCTTCTCCTTCTGCCCCCAATTCCTCCCAGTATCAGGGTCTTTGCCAACGATTCAACTCTTCGCATGAGGTGGCCAAAGTATTGGAGTTTCAGCTTCAGTGTCAGTCCTTCTAATGAACACCCAGGACTTATCTCCTTTAGGATGGACTGGTTGGATCTCCTTGCAGTCCAAGGGACTCTCAAGAGTCTTCTCCAACACCACAGTTCAAAAGAATCAATTTTTTGGTGCTCAGCTTTCTTCACAGTCCAACTCTCACATCCATACATGACCACTGGAAAAACCATAGCCTTGACTAGACAGACCTTTGTTGGCAAAGTAATGTCTCTGTTTTTTAATATGCTGTCTAGGTTGGTCATAACTTTCCTTCCAAGGAGTAAGCGTCTTTTAATTTGATGTCTGCAATCACCATCTGCAGTGATTTTGGAGTCCAAAGAAATAAAGCCTGACACTGTTTCCACTGTCTCCCCATCTATTTCCCATGAAGTGATGGGACCGGATGCCATGATCTTAGTTTTCTGAATGTTGAGCTTTTAAGCCAACTTTTTCACTCTCCTCTTTCACTTTCATCAAGAGGCTTTTCAGTTCCTCTTCGCTTTCTGCCATAAGGGTGGTGTCATCTGCATATCTGAGGTTATTGATATTTCTCCCGGCAATCTTGATTCCAGCTTGTGCTTCTTCCAGCCCAGCGTTTCTCATGATGTACTCTGCATATAAGTTAAATAAGCAGGGTGACAATATACAGCCTTGACATATACTCCTTTTCCTATTTGGAACCAGTCTGTTGTTCCATGGCCAGTTCTAACTGTTGCTTCCTGACCTGCACATAGGTTTCTCAAGAGGCAGGTCAGGTGGTCTGGTATCCCCATCTCTTTCAGAATTTTCCACAGTTTATTGTGATCCACACAGTCAAAGACTCTGGCATAGTCAATAAAGCAGAAATAGATGTTTTTCTGGAACTCTCTTGCTTTTTCGATGATCCAACAGATGTCAACCATTTGATCTCTGGTTCCTCTGCCTTTTCTAAAACCAGCTTGAACATCTGGAAGTTCACAGTTCATGTATTGCCTGGCTTGGAGAATTTTGAGCATTACTTTACTAGCGTGTGAGATGAGTGCAATTGTGTGGTAGTTTGAGCATTCTTTGGTATT